GCCGTCTGTACCCTTCCCATGGTCCCCTGCGGTTCATCACCAGTCACTCGTTTCGCGCTCGCCTCTGCCATGCGAAAAACGAAGCGCCTGAGGAGGAGGCTGACCAACTCCTGTCACAATCAGCAGCGAGGTGGAGATCCCGGTAATTTCCGAACGGCAGGTCTGGAATTTACTTAGCGCTCTCAAAAGAACTGTGACTGGACCCGACCAGATTTCTTACTGGGTTTGGAAAGAGCATGCAGAGTTTTTCACGCCTCTTATCACCGAAATCTGGAATCTCTCAATCTCTACTCAGTGTTTGCCATCATCGTGGAAGCGTGCGATCATCACCCCTCCTCCCCAAAGTGGGTGTTCCTAAAGCACTCGGTGATTATCGCGGCATTAATATAACTCCTGTTATAGCGAGGGCTTTTGAGAAAATTGTGTACCACTGCTATGCCCGCGAGACAATTGAAAGCCACCTCAGCACCTCACAGTTCGCCTACAGAAAAGGTGGAAACTGTACCGATGCTCTCTTGTCAATTCAACATAGGACAAACAGCTACTTGGATAACCCGGATTGTAAAGCAGTTCGCCTTTTTGCTATGGAATTCAGCAAAGCTTTTGACTCTGTGAAACATGAACTTCTTGCTAATAAATTAAAAAAGCTCCCACTGAATCTATATATTACCAATTGGTACTTGAACTTTTTAAAGGATAGAAAACAAAGGATATGTTGAGTGTGACTGGAAACCGGTACAAACCGGTTAACCAAGGGACAACTCAAGGTAGCGTTAGCGGTCCTTACCTTTTTAACATCTTCCTCAATGATCTTAACATCACTTTAGGTAATCATGACGCGCTATTTAAGTACGCTGATGATACGACAATTATTGCTCCTGTATGGAAGGAGGTAGACTACTCCGATCAGTTAGTGTCACAGTTTTTAGATTGGACGAATACAAATGGAATGTCTTGCAACCCAAGCAAATGTAAAGAGCTGACGATCAAAGAGAGAGGCAACCACGATCTCTATTCACCTATTGGGATGATACCAAGCTGTAAAGAAGTTGAGATTTTGGGCGTCACCTTCCAATGTGACAGCAAATTTTCAGTGCACGTGAAGAACAAACTTATTAAAGCTAACAAATCCTTACATATCCTTAGAACGCTGCGCAAAGAAGGGTACAATCAGTCAGAAATAGACCTTCTCTTTAATACTATAGTTCTACCTAAAATTAATTACGCATTATCTGTCTACGCCGCGCCCGAGTCCGATATCTTACACCCGTACGATGTTTCTTAGACCGCTGTTTTAAAAGGAAATATACGTCTAGGCCTGCAAGTGTTTATGATTTCTTAGAGAGGGAAGACCGTAAAATTTTCAGAAAAGTTTCCAATGCCAAAGGACATCCACTTTTATCTATTATGCCTCGGGTTAAACCCTCCAGCTACAATCTTAGGAAAGAAACTTGTTTTAAACCTAAGATTAACACTATGCGCTTTAAAAACTCTTTTATTAATCGTTTAGTTTTTAAATGTGAATTAGCTATGTAATATACTAGATATATATACCAATATATATTTTTTAATTCTTACTTTTTAACTTTTTAAAATTTCTTACACTTACTTGTAACAAAAGATATGTATTTTTATCTCTTGATGAATAAATACTTTATTATTATTATTATTATTAACAATAATAACAATTTATTATTTGTAAGGCGCAAAATAGCATTTAAATATGATCTAATGTGCTCATTGCGTAAACATCAATTCCTGAAAAGTTCTGAACTCAAGACTCAATGAACCATAGAAAAACGTTTATAAAAGTTCGCAAGACATCTTGTTTTGCCATTGTTCGGAATTACTTACTGCTCTCAAAAAAGATGTTACCAATATCAGGTCAATCAGGAGCTCGGTGGTGGGAAATTGCCACCTTCTCCATGCCCAGAGTTTAAAAAGAGACCTCCAGAAGAGAAAAAAAAAACAATTGTAATTGCCCAGGGGGAGGGGGGGGGTATGGTAATAGCTCAAATTTAACCATACGTAAGACTAAATCTAACTTCCATTCCACTACTCTCCACGCCTTGCAGGCAACACATCATTTTCAAAAGAGGTGTAGAGTCAAATTAATAGATTCCAACCAACGTGTGAATGAAGGCCATGCCGAGGCTACGGTAATGGCATAATCCCTTTCCTGTCACTTTTATTAGAATACCTGCCCGGTAGGAGGTACTCGACAAAGTTTTATACGTTGAGACTCCGCCTCGAGTTCCGACCCCTTAACCTTTACTGTACCCTTTTTGGAAGGTAAAGGTACCCCTTTCACATATCTAGGCTATTAGTGGGAGTACCCTCCCTGGATACCTGCCAAGACCACGCCTCTAGGACGACTCTAGTACTCATGTCTGGCTTCCAGTTACTCACGCTTAAAAAGCTTGTTTTTGTTATACTTTCGAAAAATGTACAAGCAACAAAAGCTCGAACCATGCAACGTGAAAAGGAATAATCCATTTGAATAAATTAAATTTTCCAGAAAACTCCGATACACCTTGGCATTCGTGTGATATAACTGGAATTCGTGACTTTTGTAGTTTCAATTTAGTTTAACAGCATGACAAGTGCTAGTCAGTCATAATTCACGTGACGTGTCAATTCCGGAAATTGAGTAACTTGCATTTGCGTAAGTTTTCTTGGTGTACACGTGTGGAGAAAAGTTTCTCTGTGCTCGAGGTTTTTAAAATCTGTCGGGACTATGGCATTTTTAAAAATTCCAGTTATCAAGCAAACGACCCTAGACTGCTCGGGTCTGCCGCTGTCTGACTCCAGGTGTTTTACCAACAAGGAGATAATTGGTAATGGGGCGTACGGTGCGGTTTTTACTGCTGACGTCCCATTCGCGAGTAAGAATGGAGAAGCAAATGCAACCGTCGAAAAGGTAGTCGTGAAGAAAATGCTAAGCGATGACGTTTTGGACAAGAAGACCTTTATAAAGGAGGCAAGGATACTACAAAGGCTAAAGCACCCAAACATCGTAGACTTCAAGGGTATCTGCAATAATCCATTTGCCCTTGTGCTAGAGTACGTCTACTTTGATTTTAAACCATTTGGTGTGGAGCAGAAAGTGAGCTCCCTTGCTCAATTTCTTGGTGTTCTTGAAGGTTTCGCTGAGTGCTGCTGTTTTTATAGTCCTATGTTATCTCAACTATTTGCAAGGACATGGCAGCAGGTCTACAATACGTACATGAAAATGGTGTCGCTCACCGAGATTTTTAGCCGGCAAATATCCTGATCGGCAATCAACATTATTGTGATTTGGCAATCGATGATATAGAGGAAGCCTAGGAACGCCTCCCTTTAGTTTGTAAAGTCGCTGATTTTGGCGAGAGCCGCTGTAGTGAAATACAGACCAATTCTATCCTACAGTCCAAAACGAATCGGGTAAACCGAGGCACACCCGTGTATATGGCCCCCGAGATGCTAGTCGAAGAGATGCGATTGCCTGCTGCGTCAGCGGAAGACCTTAAGAGGGCTGATATTTGGTCTTTTGGCATGACCCTCTTTGTCCTTCTTAATCGTAGCATCAGGTACCCATACTACGGGGAAATTCAAGAAGCCCTAAAGGGGGGGAAAGCGCCTATTCGGACGCTTGAGAATCTCTTTAAGAACAGGAAAGTTCCCATAGAGGCTTCCAAACATCAGTACAAACATGCTACCGACTGGTTTTTCGTCCATAAAATTTGGGCAAAGTGCATTCAATTTGATCCTACTGCAAGACCGACAATTGAAGACGTGGTTAAAATGATCAACCAGGACTCTGCTGCTGACTCTGCTGCATCTGCTCTTAATATTCCCCTAAAGGTAAGTCAGTGAAATTTGGAACTATAGTGATGTTGATATCGTTTTTTTATGTAAAGGAAGGAACTGGTTAGAGCTATCCACCTTCTTAAATTTGCCTTATTCTCAATTTGAGGGGCTGTGTCACGACTGTCTAGTTTTTTGGTTTAATATTGATGTTAGCGAGAAATATACTTGAAAATTATCATACCTCTTGAAAAGTATGATAATATAAATCGTTACAAAAAACAAAAATGCACTTTGAAAAAAGTGTCAGGCTGTTCCCTACACCTTCTCCCTAGATCCGCCCCTGCTTTTAATGTTTTTAGCGGTTATTTTTATGTTTCATGTAAAGTCGCGAATCGAGCTCAAATAAACGGTTACATTTTACGCCCTTAGTTCCGTTAATAGTCCTCCTACTAGTCCGTTCTACAGTGTTCTATATGCAAATCAAGTCCCTTTTTGCTTCGAATGTTAACTCTCATTCCTAATCTAATTACATTAAGTCCCTTGAGACCCGACACTACATCTCCCTCCCTTTTTCTAGTGTGGCTCAAAGTCCCTGTAAAAAGTGTTCCACGTAGACGTTCTTGCACGCGCTGATCTTCTTGGCCCGCTTACTGCAGTATCGTCTGGCTGCTGTTAATGTCCCTCCGTTTCCGTCCCTCCTAGGGATGTCGGTGGACCATCTGGCTCGTTACCTGGACCGCCAGTTGTCATCTCACTGGATGCGCCGATGCTGTTGGGTTGCAAATCTTCCCTGGCTCCTATTTTAGTTTCTTCCGCAATGGATGTATGCAGACCTTCTTGGTTCAAATCCACAGCTATACGTACTCATTCTCCCTCGTGTGCTTCAGCAACTTACAATGGGATGAATTCCGAGATTTAATCTCCCTACCCCTTTTCACGGTGACCATACTTCCTTTCACGCCTATTACTGAGAATGGTCGGGGGTCAAATGCTGGGGTGAGAACATCTGCTTTGTTCTGCTTCAAAAGAACTTGGTCTCCAACCACTATAAGGCTTTCCCTGGCGTTCCGCCTCTTGTCCGCATACTCTTTCATCTGCTTCTTTTTAGCCGCGTCTCTTTGTCTGATTGGGTCGTATGGAATTTCTCCTGCGGGTACGATCCTTTCCGGTAGCTTCCTCCGTAGCTCTCTGCCGAACATGAGCATGTCAGGGCTTTCCTTTGTCGCTGGGTGGGGTGTGGCGCGATAGCTGCCAACCGTTCTTTGCACTCCCTCCCGAATAGCTTTCCCTTCAAGTTTAGAAATTCTCGCACTCTTCTTAAGGGTTTGCATGAAACGCTCCACGTCACCATTAGCTTCAGCCCACCCAGGGGTGACCTTTCGGTGTCTGAACCCTTGTTCCTGAGCAAAGTTCGCAAACTTTGATCCATTAAACGGAGGCCCATTATCCGATTTGATCTCTTCAGGGGATTCCGTACGTGTTGAACACGCGCGTAAATAGGGGAATGACGTAATCAGCAGAAGTACTTGATGTAAACTCAACGACTGGATACCTTGCATACTGGTCCCTAAAGACCAAAGCCATGTCTTTGTTTCGTAACGGCCCCGCGAAATCTACACTGACCTTTCTCCACGGACCCCTTGGCAAATCGGTCATCTGTAGAGGCTCTCTGGTGTGACAGGGCGTGGTAGATTAGCAAGCGAGGCATTTCCCTACATGCTTTTCGACCATTGTGTCCATACCAGGAAACCACACATGGGCACGGAGTAACTGCTTTGTACGAACAATTCCTTGGTGGCCTTCGTGAGCAATCTTAACCATGGCTTCCCTGAGTGTCTGAGACACTACAATGCGTTCGCCGCGAAGAACGAGCCCATCAACTACTGCCAGTTCGTTGAAAACGTTAGAGTACTTCTTCAAGTCTACGTCTTTATGGTCTATACTCTTCTCTTCGACACACTTAATCAATTTCTGTAATTCTCTGTCATTTCCCGTTGACACGATTATTTCTTCCTTGCTTATCGCCTTTGGAATATCATATTCAATTACGAAATTCACGTAATGCCTGATATCTTTAGTCGTGCCCAGTTCCCTTTTGCTGCTCTGCTCGAGAGGAAGGGGGTGCCTTGATGTGTAGTCTGAGATGTTGGTCTTCCCTGGCCTGTATTCTACCTTAAACTCATAATCCAGCATTCGCACAGTCATTCTCTGCAACCGTATAGACGTTGCATGCCTCGGGTTATTAAAAATGACCTCCAAGGGCTTGTGATCAGTGACAACTATGAATGGCTTGCCATACAGGAAGACGTGACACTTTCTACACGCGAAATCAGCGGCTAATGTCTCCAGCTCGATCTGGGAATATCTCCGCTCGGGGTCTGACAGCGCCCTGCTCGCATACTGTACCACTCTCCAATGGTCTTCATTCGGACTGCGCTGGACTAACGTCGCCGAGATCCTCAGGGGACAGCCATCAACATGTACTTCATGATCAGCGGCAGGATCAAAATACGCTAAAACTGTATCAGCGCTTAGAGCATTCTTCAAAGCTTCGAATGCTTCCTGGTGTTTCTCTTCCCACTTAAAAACGTCGGCTTTAACCAGTGCCCTCAGAACATCGGTTTGTGGGGCGTAACTCTCCATGAACCTTGCATTGTACTGGACGGTGCACAGAAACGAATTCAGTTTTTTAGCGTTGCGTGGGGGCTCAGCCTGTTTAATGGCTTCTACCTTCATGGGATCAGGGGAGGCCCCTTCTTTCGAGAACACCATTCCATAATACAGCACTTATCCTTATTGAATTCGCATTTATCTTTGTTGAAGGTGATTTCTTTCTCTCTAGCTCTCTTAAACAACTTCTCTAAATTCTGATCATGTTCCTTTTGGTTCCTGCCGAATACAAGGATATCGTCACTGATGTTGATGCATCCTACTATGTCTCGAGTGATTTCTTTGCTGACGGTTTCCTGGAATATCTCCCCAGCGGATCTCGTGCCAAAGTTGAGTCTCTTGTACCTGTAGAGACCTGCATGTGTTGCAAAAGTGGTGATGTCGCGGCTATTATCCTTCAGTTCCAGTTGGTGATACCCATGGTTCATATCAAGATGAGAAAATACTGTGGCCCCGTTGAGCTCATTTATGATATCATCAAGTGTAGGCATGACAGTGGGGGTTCGTGGAATGGCTTTATTTGCTTCCCTCATATCTACATTCAACCGTATTTCATTGCCGGACCGCTTCGGTGTTATAACTACAGGGGACACCCAACTGGTTGGCTTCTCTACCCTCTCAATTATGTCGTCAGCCTCGAGTTTCTCCAATTCTGCCTCCAGCCTGGGTCTTTCACTGAACGGTATTCTCCTGTGGGCCTGTGCAACCGGCTTTATTGCGGGGTCAACGTGCAAATCTACCTTCACTCCTTTGATCTTTTCGATACCGCGGAACAGATCAGCGTACTCTTTTAACAGATTGCTTGTGATCGTTTCCTCACTTTGGACCGTGTTTGCCACCTTAACAAGACCAAGATCCTCCGCGGTCTGGAAACCTATCAAGGGCTCATATTCGTATTGTCCCTTTATAACATGAAACGTGGCAGGGACGATTCTAGTGTTCGACTCAACAATGGCCTCAAATTTTCCCATGACCTTCAGTGGCGCCGACGGGTTTTCGTTCGATTGGTATGCACGCAAAACACTCGATGACCTTCTTAATGTTACTTTATCGGCCAGTAACCTCTTGAAGGTTATCTCGTCCATGACATTTACCGTGGCCCCTGTATCCACCAGCACTTGAAATTCACGATTCTCCATTGTCACACTGCTCACTGGCCTGCGGCCCTGATTGCGTTTGACGGCCCCAACTTTCTCAATACCGCAAAGGGATTCCGCATCGCTACTATCCGAGTCCCTTTCAACTGCCTTCAGCACACCCTTGTCTTCTTTTCCTTTCATCCTACAACATTCAACATTTGGCGAAATGATTCATTTTGTTGCACGTCAAGCATTTCTTCCCCCGGGCTGGACATTTCATCCTTCCTCCAGCGTGCGGAAAAGTTCCACCACAAGAAAAACACACCTTTCCAGCAGTTTTGCTTTGTGCCTGTTGTCCGAGCGTATATAACTTCTCCTCTGGATTGGTGTCAGTTCCATGGCTTTGTCGGTCTATTTCAATTATTTCCGCTTGCTTATCCGACATTTCCTGGGCTCTTGCGAAATCCAGGGCTTCCGTTAGGGTGTGAGGTTTGCTAAGCAACCGTCGTCTGACCCGCCTCGATTTTCCTTTCTCTATTAACTGCAGCTGAATTTCAACATCACGCCAATCCGTCGGAAAATCGCATGGACCCGCTGCTAGTTTCAGGCGAGTAGCGAAGTCATCGTATGACTCCTCTTTCTCTTGAGTTAGCTGCCGAAACTGGTATATGTTAAATAGGTGATGTTTTCTGGGTTCAAAATATTCCATGAGTTTCTCGGCGGCGGTTTCGAAATC